GTTCAACACGTAAGAATGGTCAATGTTGATTGCTCACTGTACCCAGGTGCTAAGCACTCTAAATTTCTTATTCCCTGGCTGGCCAGACTTCCCCGGGGGCTGCAAGGGGAGATCTCTTGTGAGATGCCCCTCTGGCCTCCTGGCGCAGGACTCTGCCCGCCCCCGCCATTGTCCTCCAAGCTGCCCCTGGGGGGTACAGGGTGGGGGGGTGGGGGGGGTCTTCCCCCAAACCAGGCCTCTCCCACCGCTTGCTCCGTTAGGCATCTCAGCTTTCCCCTGTCCACAGTAGAAGGGGCTTCAACTGGCAGGGGGCAGCACGGGATGGCGGGGGGAGGTGCGTGTTGGAAAGAGAACTCGTTCCAAGTTGATGGGGATGATAGTAGCTGCTAGGCGGCTTGTATTTTTATCAGATATCGGTGAACTGTCTACAGAGGAGATCACGTCCATGCCCCACCCCTCTCTCTCTCTCTCTTTTTAAAAGATTTTATTTATTTATTTTTTAGAGAGCGAGCGAGAGAGAAACAGCATGAGAGGGGAGAGGGTCAGAGGGAGAAGCAGACCCCCGGCTGAGCAGGGAGCCCGATGCAGGACTCGATCCTGGGACTCCAGGATCATGACCTGAGCCGAAGGCAGTCGCTTAACCGACTGAGCCACCCAGGCGCCCCCCGCCCCTCTCTTTAAGGTACTGCACTGGGTGGCTCTTCAAGTCCGTGCTGGGCGCTCAGTACCATCCCCACCCTGCCTCTCAGTCTCCCGACCCTGGGGTGGCACCGAGCCCCTGGACAGAAGCCTGGCTGGCCCTGCACCTTCAGGCTTTGCGCCTGGGATCGCCCCTCCTCTCCCTCCATATACCATACTGGACTCGCTCGCTCATTCATTCATTCATTCATTCATTCATTCATTCATTTCATTCATTCATTCATTCATTCATTCATTCATTCATTCATTCATTCAAAGGGCTCCTTCCTTGAGGAGCGCAGCGCGGCCCGGCACAACGCTGGTGCTTGGTTAACTTAGGCTGTGCGACGAACGTCAGGGAACCGTGTGCTGGCGGTCGCAGCCGCCGCCGCCGGTCCACAGGGCACGTTCTGGATTTTGACCTTCCAGAGGCTTCAAGCCCGGCGGGCCCCGCCGTTCGGCTGCCAGCGCGGACTGCACCTGCCCTTCGCTCACGGGGGAGGGGGTGCTTTCCGACGAGCTCGTCTCGGGACCCACCCCCTCTCCGTCCCGGCTCGGTCCAGGGGGCCTCAGGGTGAGGCTGGAGCCTGGTCGGGTTCCCGGAGGCTGCGAGTCGCGCTGGGCGTGGGCGGGGGGGCGCGTAGGGGCAGCGCCCCGACTGAGCAGAACGGTCTCTTGGCGCCCCCTAGTGACACGGAGGAGGACACGCGCGGGCCCCGGGCCCTCGCGCGCCGGGAGGCCCCTCCCCAGCCCGTGGCGCGCCCGGCCCGGGGGCGCCACCAAGCTCACGTTCCCAAGGTCACCCAGATCCCTTGCCCACGGCCCCAGAGCGAGTAATGGGAGTGACCAGAGGGGAATGCCAGCCTGTGGCCCGGCCCGCATCCCCGCACCCACTGGGGAGGTTAGAGAAATTTGTGTCTGAGGACAGACAATTACGGGTCACTCCTGCCCCGGGCCCTCGGAGACCCCTGACGCTGCCCTGGGTGCTCCTCTCTGGAGGTACCCGCCCCTTCTCTCACCGAAGAACAACCTGTGTCCCCCACCAAGGCCACGGCTCCCTGCGTGCACCGGGCCCCATCCTTTCTCATGGACATCACCTCTGAATTCTCCCCTGGCTGCCAAATGTTTTCCTCTCCCTCCTGGATCCTTCCCTGCGGTGCCCAACCTGCTCGAATGCATCCCTTCTTTAAAAGGAAAGAAAACCCTGCCATATTGCCTGCCTGCTCCTCTCCATCTCTTTGCAGCCTTTTTCAGCAAAATGTCTTGAAAATGAGTGTGGGTCGGGACAGCCACTCACCCTATCTTGAACATAATGATCAGGCACTCCCCCACATCCCTGGGCAAGTGCTCATGTCCAGGTCACCGTGGCCTCCACATGGCCAAATCCAGTGATCAGTCCTCAGTTCTCATCTTGCTGGATTGCTGGGTGGCTTGACAGGGCAGGGCCCTATCCCCTTTCAATGTTTCCCTCACCTGGCCCTCCTCAAGCCGCCCCCCGCTCCACCTCCTTTGCTGGACCCCCCTCCTCTTTCCTACCCCTAAAGTTTGGCCCAATGCACAGTCTTCAGACCGCTTTTGTGTTCTAACCACACTGCCCAGGTGACCTCCCCTGGCCCCATGATATTCAACACACATCTATATACACTGTTATCTCCCAACCTTAGGGGCTACATTCTGCTGCTGTTGGGTGGAGTGTTTCAGGAAATGCCAATTAGGCCAAGTTGGTTAAAAGTGTTGTTCAGGTCTTCTATATCCTTACTGATTTTCTATCGACTTGTTCTACGCATTCTTTTTTTTTTTTTTTAAGATTTTATTTATTCATTTGACAGAGAGAGAAAGAGTACAAGCAGGAGGAATGGCAGGCAGAGGGAAAGGGAAGCAGAGGGAGAGGGGGAGGGAGAGGGAGAAGCAGGCTCCCTGCTGAGCCAGGACCCTGAGATCATGACTTGAGCTGAAGGCAGACACTTAACCTTAACCGACTGAGCCACCCAGGCACCCCTGTTCTATGCATTCTTGACAGAGGTGTTGAAATGTTGGATTACAATTGTGCATTTGTCTTGCTCCTTATGCTTCTGTCCATTTTTGCTTCATGAATTTGAAGCTCTGTGATGACATGCATAAACATACGGCATTATTGTGTCCTTTTCATGAATTGACCCCTTTATCATGTTGAAATGTCCCTCTATTCCTAGTGGTGTTATTTGCCCTATAATTTACTTTGATTTTGGCATAGCCACTCTGGCGTTCCTTGGATCAGTGTTGGACCAGTCTATCATTTCCCACCCTTTATTTTTAACTTATTGGGGCCTTTGTATTTAAAGTGGATTTCTTATAGGCAGCACATAGTTGGTTTTTGCTTTTTAAAAATCCTATCTGACAATCTACTGGCTCTCACCTGGGCTGCCTGAGAGCTGTCTGCCAGCCCAAGGGGAACAGTCTCTATAAACATAGGACAGAGTGATCAGTTCTCTGTGGCTTCACATCCCTCTTAGATGGAGAATGGTCCTTGGCTTGCCCACTTGGACCCTGAGTGATCTGGTCCTTGGCTTGCCTCCAAACCCATTACCTACCTCTGTCCACCTTGGCATGCTGACCTATTGTCCCTAGTGACAGCAAGATGCCTCAGCCTGAGGGTCTTTCCCTTGTTCTAGAATGCTCTCCCTCCAGAGTCCTCAAGGGTTCACTCCTTCTCTTCATCAGCCCTCTGCTCAAGTGTGACCCTCTAGAGGGGACCTCGACCACCTTCCCCACCATTCTCCCCTTTATCACTTTATTGTCTTCAGAGCATGTTTCTCTGCACAATACACAATCTGTGCTTCTCACTCGTGGTCTGTGCCCCCAACTAGAATGTGACCCCATGAGATCAAGGACTTTCTCTTGGTAATGGCAAATCTTAGTGTGTCTGTGCTTGGAACTGCATCTTGCTTGGTATGGGTGTGGAATAAATCTTTGGGGTGTGAGTAAATAAACAGAGCCCTTTTGTTTTCTCCAGGTGAATTACAAGGTGATTCTAAAAGAATAGAACTAAAAAAAAAAAAAAAAAAAGTTATTACTCAGCAAGTAAGTTACAAACGCATCAAAGCCTAATTGTAAAGAAACAGTCACAGCTTATTTCTGTAATATTATAAACATGCACTAACTGCCCAGTGTGTCACACCCACATGTCAATCCCTGGTTTAATTCAGGCCTTTGCAGTTTATCTCCGTTCATGATCAAAATGGCAGCCATAATGCATTCCTTCATTTCCTCAAGACTTTGAGAAGAGGGGACACAAATACAAAGTTTTCAGTGAATCCTCATGAAGAGTCCTTGCTGGGATATCTGGGGATTTGGGAGGTCTGTCCTCCAAAAGGCATGTTCAAGACCTACCCCCTGGTACCTGTGAATGGGACCTTCCTTGGACATTGGGTCTTTGGAGATGTCATCAAGTTGAGATTAGGTCATTCATTCTGGATGAGAGTGGACCCTAAATCCAATGACTGGTGTCTTCACAAAAGACGGAAATGTGGACTCAGACACATAGACCCACACAGGGAGAGCGCCAGGTGAGGATGGAGGCGGAGACTGGGTGCACCTTTTAGCAAGGATGCAAAAGGTTGCCAGCAGCCACCAGGAGCTGGGAGAGAGGCACGGGACAGTAAAAATAATTCTGCAAGTTGAAATTATGCAAAACAATATATTTTTTAAAGATCATATTTATTTATTATTTTAGATAGAATGCGCTTGAGTTGGGAGGGGCAGAGGGGAAAGGGTAAAGGGGGAGGAGAGGGAGAAAGAATCTGAAGCAGGGGACCAACACGGGACTCAATCCCACAACTTCAAGATCATGACCTGAGCTGAAACCAAGAGTGGGGCGCTCAACCAACTGAGCCACCCAGGCGCCCCCATGCAAAGCAATCTTGATAGTTGCAGGACATTGTGAATACACTAGAAACCACGGAATCATACATTTTAAAATGGTTAAAGTGGTGAATTTTATGTTATGTGAATTTTATCTCAATAAAAATAGTTTTTAAATGGACACGTGGAGAGAAAAAAAAACCCGTCAGACAACTGTGATTGTCCTATGATCTCCCAAATGTTAAAAACTTTCTTATTGGTTATAAATACATAGGCAAATAAAAATAGTAAAACTAGGGCACCTGGGTGGCTCAGTTGGTTAAGCGGCTGCCTTCAGCTCAGGTCATGATCCCAGGGTCCTGGGATTGAGGCCCGCGTTGGGCTCCCCGCTCAGTGGGGAGTCTGCTTCTCCCTCTCCCTCTGCCCCTTCCCTGGCTCATGCTCTCTCTCAAATAAATAAATAAAATCTTTTTAAAAAATAGTAAAATGAATATTTATGTAGAACACTCTATCTTAAAATATCAGAAACATTGAGAGTGATAGTGCTTATTTCTTTGTTCGAAAGCAGCACAGATGCTAAAATTGGAACGACCCAGAGGAGATGAGCGTGAGTCTGCACAACGTGGATGCACAAGTTTGTGGAGCAGTCCCTGTTTGTTCGACAGTGTGAATGTACACGATGCCACAGAACCAGCCACTTGGAAGTGGTTAAGGTGGTAGATTTCAGCCTCGGGACATGGTCCTTCCAGATTCGGCCTCGCCAGGCTCCTCCAGCTGCTGGCGTCCCTGCCCCTCTGCAGCGCTTTCCTCTGGGACCCCACTGCTGGTGCATCCATGCGTGACCTCCAGGGTTAACACTTCCTGCTCCTCGCCGCTCTCATCTTTGCTGGCCAAGTCCCGGCTTCACAGATGCACTTTTGCAAAATGGCAAGTGTATTCATCACGGAAGGCGGCGCAGCTACCGACTGCCGGCTGCGCGGGAACTGAGTAACGTGCGCGGTGACTGGTGACCCACGGACTTTGAAAGAAGCGCCAGATGGTCACTGATGATGACACACGACTGTGATGTAGGTAGTGATTTGCAGGCTGGAGAGCTCACCACAGTCTGTACCTGGTGCAATTACTCAGTTAATACACAGGGTGACAGGTACTGGAACTGTGCGGCTGGGGGACTGCTGTTATTTTACTATACCGTGGTAACAAAAATATGTGCATATTGAAACCGTGCAGAGCAGGGACTGCCTATATTGAAATCTGCTTCCCCACCCCATCTTGCCTTTCCTTCTCTGCATTCAAGGAGCAGCTGGTCGCGGGGCCCGTTTCTCCAGGACTGAAGCGGAAGTTGCCTATGGGTCTTTTGGACTTTGTTTTTTCCCAAAAGCCCAAGCCCTTAGGAGAACAAAGGGGAAGGGAGGAGGGATGGCTGAAGTAATGGCTCCCTTGTGGGCAAGGTGTCCTGGAGAAGCAGGGTCGACAAAGCATCTTGGACCGCAGGGAGACTCCCCTGGTCTGGGGCGAGGAGAGGCAGGTGAGGGGGTTCTGGGCCTGCTGCCTCCAGTCCCCAGAGAGCAAAGCAAGAGAGGTATGGCACCCAGGTGACAGGACCCCAGGCAGGCTGGGCAAAGGGGCCCACAGGGGGGCTGGAGGGCTGGGACCAGGGGGGCTGCCATGATCAGTGTGGACAGATAACCCAGGGCAGCAGGCTCCCCCACAGGGCCCTATCCCTGCAGTAGTCCTGACTTAGGAAGGGGGCAGAACTCCAAAACTGGTGCCCATGGAATCGGGGAATGAGGTCTTGGGTCAGAAATGAGGCTGTTACAGAAAATGGAGTCAGTGGGCTTGCCCGCACCCCCGAGTCCGTGGCCGGAGACTCAGGCCTGGGAAGACTGGGCGGTGGCACCACTGTGAGGAGTGGCCTGTCCGAACGGCTACGTTCACAGCACTAGTGAGGCAGGTTATTACCACTGCAGTTTGAGGATGTGGAGGTAGCAAGTTCAGAGCAGAAGTAATTGCTTCAGGTCTCATTGGTAACAAGAGGCGGAACGGGGATTCAAACTCAGATACTGCCCGTGCCTAGAGACTTTTACCCACCAGGAGGGCGTGGGCTGGGTCCTGTTCTATCATTTTTTCAGTCCCCTGTGCACCATGGTGCAAACCGTGATCTCAGAGGGTGCTCAGAGATCCCTGAGAAACAGGGGATGCTGTCAGGCTGCTGGGACGGAGTACAAGCCAGAGGCGGTCTGACCCCTAGTGGCTAGTCGGTGTAATTGCAGGTCCCAGCCCGTGATGCTCCCCAAAGGCGAGGGTTCCAGGTCCTGGTCCTCTCCAACCCCACACCCCCACCTGCCCAGGGTTCTGCATCTACCTGCTGCCCTAGCCAACTTTCCCTCCCTGCCAGGCAGGGCAGTGCTGGGCCAGAAACTGAATAGGCTCTGGTAGATATTTATTCAATTTCATTTAATTCCATAAGATCTGGGGCATCTGGGTAGCTCAGTAGATTGAGTGTCTGCCTTCGGCTTCGGTCATGATCCCACAGTCCTGGGATTGAGCCCTGCATTAGGCTCTCTGCTCTCTCTCCCTCTCTCTCTCTCAAATAAATAAAATCTTTTTAAAAAGTTCCATAAGATCTTTCATTCCAGGACTGCGGGATGGGCAGAGGCTGAATTTCCTTCCTTCTTGCTGAGGGAAGCCTATTGCTGGCCTAAAGCAACCACGCGTCCATCCAAAAACCTGCTCAGGTTACGCATACAAGTGTTTACTTGGAAGAAAAAGAACCCTATAATGTAAACATTTTACAGAGACAACCCAAAATTTCCAGCAGAATGCCCTGGGTTGGGTGAGGTGCAAAGCACAGGACACAGCATCCTGTTAGGTTAAGACTTTGTTTGCCTTCAGTGCAATGGTCACTTTCACCATGGGGGTAGGGGAACACGTCTACATTTTTATTGACAAGACAAAGCCCTTCTTCAGCCTCAAAGGGATAGGACATAAAATAAAATGGTTTATCAGAAAATGTTATAATTTTCTTTATCACGATCTCCTGGCACTGCCAGCCACTTTAAAGTTTTGTTTTTGTTTTTTTTAAAGATTTTATTTATTTGACACACAGAGAGAGAGACAGCTCACAAGCAGGGGGAGCAAGAGAGGGAGAAGCAGGCTCCCCGCTGAGCAGGGAGCCCGACGTGGGGCTCGATCCCAGGACCCCGGTATCATGACCCAAGCTGAAGGCAGATGCTTAACCGAGTTACCCACCCTTTTTAAGTTTGATATCAGTTGGTGTTTCTCTATATTGAACACTCTAGTGTTTATTTTTTAAGATTTAATTTTTAAGTAAACTCTACACTCAATGTGAGGCTTGGACTCATGAAACTGAGATCAAGAGTCGCATGCTTTACTGACTGAGCCAGTCAGGCGCCCCTCGTATTTATTTTCTAAGTTGAGCGAGTAGAGGACCCCGCAGGTAACATCGAACCTCCCGCACTTCCATTCCTCACCTACAGTGAAGACAAGAAAAAGCCAGACCCCGTGCTTAGAAGCATGCTGTCCAGCCTGGTACAGATAGCTGTGCACAGCCTGGGGCTGTCAGTGGTTTTTTGTTTTGTTTTTGTTTGCTTTTTAAAGTAGGCCCCATGCCCAACGTGGGGCTTGAACTCACGACCGTAGGATCAAGAGTCACATGCTCTAGCGACTGAGCCACCAGGTGTCCCTGTCAATGGGTCTTGTATTAAAAATGGGCGGCTGGGGTCAAATAAGTTCAGGAATCACTGGGTCAGACAAAGCTTAACCAGTTTCTTCATGACAGGACTTTTCAGAGCCTCTATAAAGTCCTTCGAATCTTTGGAGGAAGGGGAAGGTGCAACATTTCCCAAGTTACTTGGCTTTGGGGCTCTTTTAGGGGGGAACATCAAAGCTCAGCTCCTGGGGGGCTAGAGATCTATGGTGATACTTGGAGAACACTATCCTAGAACACAGAGCCACGTGTTTAATAAACATGGCCATTACTGCATGGGGGTTTGTTGTTTTTGTTTTTTTCTTAAGAAGGCAACTAGCCCCTCCTCTTGTTCATCCTCATTTTGACCAGAAGGAGTTTTCTGCATCCATACGGCAGCCTCAGCTCCTGGCTTGTCAAAAGACACATCTCTGTGATGAAGACGGTTTTGGAGGAGCTCGGGCTGCTTTGCTGGCCCTGCACTGAGGGGTGAGCAAGGCCTGGCTCTGATAGGATCCTGGCACTGTCACCACCGGCTGTGTGACCTTGGGTGAGTCCCTTAACCTCTCTGTGCTAAGTTCCCCTTCTTTAAAGGAGGCTAATGAGCATACCTGCCCCTGGGGCTGTGTGAGGAGTAAATGAGATCAAGTGGTAAAGCTACCAGCACAGTGAGTGATCAATCACAGGCAGCCCTACTAATGGTATTAGTAGTAGTAATAGTAATGGTGACGGTGCTGATCCCAGGTCTGTGGAGGAAACTTACTAGGAGAACGTAAGAGCTCCAAGGGGCAGTTCCATTTTGTTTTGAAATAGACGGGTTTCCTTTGTTGAAGAGCAAAGAGCAGAAGTCTTGTTTAGTATACGTGCTGCCAAAGGGAGCACCAGAAATCTTGTTTAAATTGCATCTTAAGGGGCGCCTGGGTGGCTCAGTTGGTTAAGCATCTGCCTTTGGCTCCAGTCATGGTCCCAGGCTCTTGGGATCGAGTCCCGCATCGGGCCCTCTGCTCAGCGGGGAGCCTGCTTCTTCCTCTCCCTCTGCCTGCAGCTCTGCCTACTTGTGCTCTGTCAAATAAATAAATAAAAAATCTTTAAAAAATTGCATCTTAATTTCTTTGCTTTAAAAAAAAAACGCGTGGTGAAAAATACATAAAACTCACCATTTTAGCCATGTTGAAGTGTGCAATTAGGGGCATTAAGGACATTTGTAAATCTGCAGCCACCATCACCACCCATGTCAGGATGTCTTCATCATCCCAAAGAGAAATTCGCTACCCATTAAACCGTAACTCCCCGCCACCCCCAACCCGAGGGGCGGTTCTGACAAGGGACACTCTGGAGGGTGAGGCTCCCCCCTCAGTGTCCTGCCTCATGCAAGGACCCTGCGCCCCACTCAGCTGTCACCTGTCAAGCAGAACGCCAAAATGCAGCCCCAAGCAGCAGCCCCATCCCCAGCGTTTACTCAGACTTAAAGCCAAGGAAAAGGTAAGCAGTTATGTGCTGCCTTAACCTCCTCTCTCAATATGGTGCCTTCCGAAAAAAGTGAGGTGGACAACTACACGTGATGGGATCCTGGCCCAGGAAAAACAAGGAAAAAGTAAGAAAATCTGAACTATGGACTCTAGTCAATAATAATGCATCAAGGGGCGTCTGGGTGGCTCAGTCAGTTGATTCTGACTCTTGATTTCAGCTCAGGTCGTGTTCTCAGGGTTGTGAGATCGAGCCCTGTGTCGGGCTCTGTGCTCAGTGGGGAGTCTGCTTGGGGTTCTCTAAATAAATAAATCTTTAAAAAAATGTATCGGGGCACCTGGGTGGCTCAGTTGTTGAGCCTCTGCCTTCAGCTCAGGTCATGTTCCCAGGGTCCTGGGATCGAGCCCCACATCAGGCTCCCTGTTCATCGAGAGGCCTGCTTCTCCCTCTCCCACTTCCCCTGCTTGTGTTCCTGCTCTCGCTATCTCTGTCAAATAAATAAATAAAATCCTAAAAAAAAATGTATCAAGGGGCACCTGGGTGGTCAGTTGGTTAAGTGCTGCCTTCAGCTCAGGTTGTGATCCCAGGGTCCTGGGATTGAGCCCCACGTTGGGCTCTTTGCTTGGCAGGGAGCCTGCTTCTCCCTCTCTCACTGTCCCTGCCCTGCTTGTGCTCTCTCTCCCTCTAATGAATAAATAAAAAAATCTTTAAAAAAATTTAAAACTTAAAAAAATAAAATAAAGAATGTATCAATATTGTTTCCCCAGTTGTAGCAAATGTACCAGACTAATGTGTTACTAGTAAGGCAAACTGTGTGTGTGTGTGTGTGTGTGTGTATCTGTGTGAGAGGGGGCCTATGAGCACTCCATACTCTCAATTTTTCTGTAAATCTAACATTGTTTCAAAAAAAAAAAAAAAAAAAAGTCTATTAAAACAGAAAGTGACGGAGTGCCTGGATGGCTCAGTCGTTAAGCGTCTGCCTTCGGCTCAGGTCATGATCTGAAGCCTGCTTCTCCCTCTCCCACTCCCCCTGCTTGTGTTCCCTCTCTCTGTCTCTCTGTCAAATAAATAAAATCTTAAAAAACAAAAACAAAGATAGTGAGGCAAGGGATGTTGTGATGACCGCCCTGCCAGTGAGCCCCGCTTCTTGAGGACCAGATGTCCTGATGGGGCTGGCGGGCGACTTTGGGACTGGGGGAAAGGCGGTGAGGTGGCCGTGCTCAGTCAGTCCAGCTGCAAGCCCCTCCCTGTGCTGTGAAAATCGCCATCTCCAGGCCTGTGGCTCCAGCACCCTAATCATGCTCCCAGACCACAAGCCTTTTGAGACCTGGAGTGCCAGATTTTCCAGATACCGGGGTTGATGATGGAAATACAGTCCCATTTCAGGGCTGGGGACATGAGTGACAGGTGGGGCCCCCAGGACAAGGCCCGAGTCCCTTCTGGAGGTGCAGCATAGGCCTCCTGCAACCTCTGGCCTGAACCGTCACCAGGGAGCCTCTGAGAGCACAGGTCTGGGCACTGTTAGGGCACACCACAGATTTCACCCCCACTGGCCACCCTACGTGGCAGCCTCAGAGCTCAGAGACCTGGGCCATAAACCATACAGAGGAAGATGGGACCACTCGGCCAGGCTTTTCCCATGAAGACTCCACAGCCTAGAGTGGGGATCAGGCATGGGAGAATCAAGGGGAAGAGGGCTGCTGCCCTGTCCTGGGCAGACAGAGATGCCCGTGTGGTTGGGAACCGAGCGCATACTGCCTTCTGACCTCTGGGTGGGGTGCGGCGGGCGCGCTAGTATCCAGCTTGGTAAGAACAGCCAAGCAGCTCCTGTGGCGGGTGGGGGCTGTCTTAAAACCCCACAATAGCCTTATCTCACTAGGTTACAATTCCAAGTCCTTTTTGTTTTTAAAAAAAAAATTTTTTTTTAAAGATTTTTTTTTTTTTTATTCATGAGAGACAGAGCGAGGGAGAAAGGCAGAGGGAGAAACAGGCTCCCAAGGAGCAGGGAGCCCGATGCGGGACTCGATCCCAGGACCCTGAGATCACGACCTGAGCCGAAGGCAGACGCTTAACCATCTGAGCCACCCAGGCGCCCTCCAAGTCCTTTTTGTGGCCATCTGTTATCTCTTTGACTATCACCTATCCTCAAACCCACACTCACTCACTCCACTGAGGATCCCACCCACCTCAGGTCCCTTGCACGTGCTGTGCCCTCTGCCAGGATGCTCTTCCCTGACTTTTTTCAAAGTTCCCTTCTCAGTAGGGCCTTCCCTGCCCCTTATATAAATCTGTTCTCACCTCCTAGACGCTTCCTCGGTTTTGTTTTTTTCCCCAGTAGATCTCATCACTTCTAATACAGTATGAATGTTATCTTGTTTATTGGTCTCTTTCCGGCACTAAAAGGTAAGTTCTGGAAGGGCAAGGATTTCTACCCCCCCCCCCTTTTTAAAAGATTTTATTTATTTATTTGACAGAGACAGACACAGTGAGAGAGGGAACACAAGCAGGGGGTGTGGGGGAGGGAGAAGCAGGCTTCCCGCGGAGCAGGGAGCCCGATGCGGGGCTCGATCACAGAACCCTGGGATCATGACCTGAACCGAAGGCAGACGCTTAATGGCTCAGCCACCCAGGGCCCTCTACCTCTTTTGCTTCATGCTAGATCCCTAGCACCTAGAGAAGTGCCTGGGAGCAGCAGGTGTTTTGATAGGTACTTGCTGAATTGCATGAATTAAGCTGCAGGTGATTCTCCTGGGGTCTTGCATATTTCCCCCCCTCCTTCGAGTTCGGGCTTCTAGGCTCCTCACTCCCACTGCTTCTCCTCTTTTCCCGGCTCTGCCAGAGACCCTCCTGTCCCTCGTATAATGGGCTCAAGACACCAGACAGTTCTGCCCCAATCAGGAAGGGAGACTGGGAAGCAGCGGGCTCCATCCTCCGGGGTCACCAGTACCTTGAGCAAAAAGCAGTGGGGAAAGGGAGTGTCACAGGGTTTGGGTGACTCCGAATGGCACGGAGGGGGGTGCTCCTCTTGGCTCACCCACCCGCGCTTCTCAGGGTGCAAAAGCTACCTGGTTGACGGTCTACAGGCTGGTTAGGCCGATGCCTGGGTTCAACCCTGGCTCCTCCACTTCCAGGCTGCGACGCCTCAGTAAAGTCTCTCCCCGTCTATGGGCCTCAAGAGCACTGCTGACCACTCACTGCTGCTGTAAAGACGTAGTAACGTTAAGGGGCGCCTGGGTGGCTCAGTCGGTTAAGCGTCTGCCTTCGGCTCAGGTCATGGTCCCAGGGTCCTGGGATCGAGCCTCGCATCAGGATCCCTGCTCCGCGGGAAGCCTGCTTCTCTCTCTCCCACTTCCGCTGCTTGTGTTCTCTCTCTTGCTGTCTCTCTGTCAAATAAATAAATAAAATCTTAAAAAAAAAACACAAAAAAATTAAATAAGATTAGAGAAGACCTAAAAATGTAATTATTGAGCTAGCTTTAGTTACTTTATATCAGACTCTCTACCCTAAAAACAGACTACTCCTTTGTAACTGGGCTTCTGAATATTCACAAAGATCGACTATATGTTAAATCTTTTTTTTTAAAAACCAATATATTCCAGGGCGCCTGGGTGGCTAAGTCCGTTAAGCGACTGCCTTCGGCTCAGGTCATGATCCCAGGGTCCTGGGATCGAGCCCCGCATCGGGCTCCCTGCTCCGCGGGAAGCCTGCTTCTCCCCCTCCCTCTCCCCCTGCTTGTGATCCTGCTCTCACTGTGTCTCTGTCTGTCAAATAAATACACAAAATCTTAAAAAAAAGTAAAATTAAGGGCGCCTGGGTGGCTCAGTCGGTTAAGCGTCCGCCTTCGGCTCGGGTCATGATCCCAGCGTCCCGGGATCGAGCCCGCCTCGGGCTCCAGGAATGTGACCTGGTTTAACCAGTCTGGAACTACCTGGCCGGCGTGAGCGAAGTAATCTGCCGCACAGGTCCCGGTCTTTCCCCGGAGGAAGGTGCCCTTGCCTGAAACAGTCCACTCCTCGCTAGAACTGCCTTCTTTGGCCCGCTTCAGTCGACAGAAGCCTTCCATTTCCTACCGCCCCCTCAGCGCTCCTCCTACTCGCTGGCTGGGATGCTGCCCGGGTCAGAATTGTTGAATAGAGCCCGTCCCATCTCCAGACTCACCCGGATGTGTCTTCACGGTACGGGAAGCAAAGCCAAGCGGTCCGCCACACAGCCCTAGGCTGAAGCGGGCCACAGACAGCGGCTCTGCTCCGCTGCACACCCTGGCGCGCGGGCAGCCCTCCGGGACCGGCGGCTCCAGGTTCGGGCCACCGCCCTGGCTCACTTGGCGGCGCACGTCCACGCTGCCCCACGCAGGCCCAGTAGGCGGGCTCTTCAGTTAGCGAGTGACCGACCGGCCGATCTAGGCCCGGTGCAGCGGCCGGCTCCGGCGCGAAGCCCCCTAGCTCCGCCGTCCCCGATTCCGGCGCCAGCTCGACGTCCCCGGCCCGCTCCCGCCACAGACAAACCAAGAACGCCCCCCACGCCGTCATGTGTCCGAGAGGCGGGGCGATCACGTGCCCCACCGGCCTGTCACGTGACCTTAGGGACCAACCCCTGCGGCCGGAACGGGGAGGCCCCGGGATAGGCCCATCCCAGCCAGGGGGCGGGACTTCGCGCGGAGGCGGGGAAGCCTTGCCCGCCGCTCCCCGCCCACAGGTCCCCCGCGTGAATCTCGCTCGCCCGCCCGCGAGACCTGGCGTCCGGCGGCGGCCTGCGACGCCCACGGTTCCGCGGGCCGGAGCGGGGCTGTAGCGTTTCCGGGTGGCCCACGCGTGCCGCTTGCGGCCCTTTTCCGAGCAGGCCTTGACATTAGACCACTTACCGCCCTGGACCCTTGCTCGCCTCCGCGCTTTGTCCCGCGTCTGGAGAATGGGACGGATGTCTTAACGTGGAGCCGGGGGCCAGGGGCCGCGCACCGTCCTCCCGTCCCTGCCTCCGACTCCTCGTCTCGGCGGCCCCCTGTGACGCCCTGCTCCTCCCCACGTTCGTCGTGGCCTGGCTTGTGCTCCGAGCGCTCGTGGCTTTTATCGTTCCAGCTGGACTAGGGACGCTTAAGCCAGGGTCCTTGGCCGGGGCTCCTGGGCGCCGTGACCCGCTTCCCGGTTACACGCGGGGTAGGCTGTGTTGGTGCCCCTTTGATTGGGGGTGGGGTGCCTTTCATCAGACCCCGATGCTGAGAACCCTCGGAGGAAGGCTCCCCGCAGCACCAGCTGCGTCTGCCACCGACGCTGGAAGGTGCTTATGAGATGGGGGAGCATAGCCCACCCTTAGTTCTCCCAATAAGCCTCTGCAAGCGCCCCAGGCTGGTCCCACCGGAATGCTTGCTATCACCCGCACACAATTTTGACGGCCCTCCTCGCCGCTCGGGTCGCGTTCTTTCCTCTGCCGGAACGTCTGTCCTCTCATTTTTCGCCGAGCCGGTGAACCGGCTGGGGCAGGCGTGGGGCACAGCACCAGCCGCGGGAGCCACGGTGGGGAATGAGGCGGGCCCACGGTTACTGTGGAGCTCACGGTCTGTTCGGGGAGGCGGTGAAGCTGGAGATGAGGGAGATGCTGTGAGTGCCTGACTGGGCACCAGAAAGATCTGAGACCGAGGGATAAATAGCTGATAATCGAGTCAGGGCGAGAGCAGGGACTAGGGTCAGAAGGCTCATCGTGGGTAAGACTCGGCTTGTCGTTGGAGGAGAGTTGAGAGGGTAGCGAAACCAGCGTCCTGATCCTTGGAGCCTTGTTAGGCAGAGTGCAGACTGATCAGGTTGATGGGGTTTTAGAATACAGGTGCGGTTCGGTGGGGTTGGAGTCCGGAGCCAACGACCAAGAAAGAATTCCTTTTTTTTTTTTTTTTAAAGATTTTTATTTATTTATTCATGAGAGACAGAGAGAGGCAGAGGGAGAAGCAGGCTCCCAAGGAGCAGAGAGCCCGATGCGGGACTCGATCCCAGGACCCTGGGATCATGACCCGAGCCGAAGGCAGATGCTTAACCATCTGAGCCACCCAGGCGCCCAAGAAAGAATTCTTGAGATGACTTTGGTGCAAAATGGTGGTTTATTAAAGCACGGGGGCAGGGCCCGTGGGCAGAAAGCTGCTGCCGTGGGGTCTTGAGGAGTGGCTGATTATATACTTGGGGGTTGGGGGAGGCATGGAACACGGAGGCTTCAAAAGGATTTTTGTAAAAGAAGACTCACAGGCTACCGGAGGCCTTGCCATTGTCAAGTTAAGGTTGCCTTTCCTTCTAGGAAGGTATTAACAGTAAGATAGTTGGAGCTTCCTGGAGGAACATTACACTCTGCTTGCTTCAAGTATCTGTCAATGGGCTGTAGATTATAAGGACATTTAATTGTATCTACATTCCCTTCTGGAAGCTAGACAATTGAAAAAAATGCTTTGTTCTTGTAAATTGCTAAGGCTTTTGTAAACTGAGGGAGACTCCTGTCTTGCAGGATTGTGATCTCTGTAAATTAACTATTTGTTTTTTTTTTTTTTTTCCTTTAGGGCAGCCAGGAGAGCCTGAGCAATGTCACAATGTCACAGAGATGGGGGTGGGTTGTGGGGTATCAGCTTCTGCCTGTACTCAGCTAGCCTTCTGCCCCCCTCATCAAGGTGAGTGTTTTTGGAAGATCCCTCCGACTGCAGCCAGAGCCGGATGGCTGTTCCTGTGAGGCATGTGGGGGCAGGAGGGAGTTGGGCAGGCAGGAAAGGAAACAGCAAAAGCTGGAGTAGAAATCTGAACCCTTTGGGGAAACTTTCTGGGCCTCAGTTTGTCCATTTGTAAGGTGTGGGAGTTGTACTCCATCTTTAAGTTGTACTCCACCTCTGACTCAAAGTCACCACTCCAGGTAGGTGAGAATTTATACGTGATTGTAGCGGGGAGAGAGAAAGATAACGTGAAGGAAGGGAGACGGGAGAGAGTGAGGCAGAGAGAGCAAAGGGGACATGGAAGAGCAGGGTTTCAAGGGCAGAGCAGGACCCAGAGGCCTGCCCAGGTCAGAGAGCCATCCCTAGATTCAGACCCTCAATTGTACTGCTGTGTGACCTTGGGCAGTTCACCCAGCTCCCTAGGCCTCAGGTTCTGCCTAATTCAGGGATACCAGTACTATTAATGCTAGGTGACACTGTCTTTGGGTCTTAGGGGATCCCACAGGATGCTGTAACTCTGAAAAAAATATGCATTGACTTCTATACATATAAAATAATTTCTGGAAAGATACACAAGTTGGTGACATGGTTTGTTTCATGGGAGTTGAACTGGGTGGCTGGCTGGTGTTGTGGGGCGAGGGCGCAGAGCTTTGGAAGCGAACTTTCTTTAACTGTTGTTCTTTTTTGAACAATATGGCAAGTCAGAGAGAGATGTCAGACCTTCATGTCTCTGCACTGGTCATGACTGGGTACACACCAGACTTGAAGGCAGAGGGAGCATTAGGAAGGGCATGCTCTGCATTCCAGGACACCTAAGTTCTCACTGCCACCAACACACACTGGGTTTTAGTTGCTTCATCCGTAAATCTGGGGACCAGTGAGGGCTTTATAGAGGGCAAAGCAAGATCTTAGGATCCCACTGGCCTGCATTTGGATCCTGACTCTACCTTTGACTAGTGAGTTTGGGTGAATCACGTCATCTCTCAGAACCTAATGTTCTCATCTGAAAAATGGGGATTGATTAACAACACCAGCCTGTGTGCAGAGGGACAGCCCAGCATGTTTGTCAGTGCTCCCGAAGTGCTGTTTCCATGTTTCCCCTCTCCCAGCTTTGAAGAGCCCATGACTGGCAGGCTGGAGGAATGTAACCAACTAGTTAGTGTTTGTTGTTCTCATCCCACAGAGTTTAATTTCATTAAAAGTTCTTTAGAATATGTGATGCTGGGAGTGCATGTCAAGGAGCACAGAGCTTCAGTTTACAGAACAATCAGACAGGGGATTATGTAAAAATAGCTGAGCAGGTGGAGGCTCAAAGCAGGCATTCCATATGCTGGGGGGTGGGGTGGCGGTGAGATCGCTGGTGGCCGGCCTCCTGTCCCCCGGTGGTGAGAAGGGTGATTACAAGTCAGCATCACAGCCTAATGGTAATCTGGACCTGGCTGTTTGTGGATGCTGCACTGAGGCATTAGACACGATTTTTTAAAAAAGTAATGTATGTTTGTAAAATCAGTGCAAATATTCCAGAAGACTCCAGAAAGACAGAAGTCCTTGGAATACTCATCTGGTTTCTTTACATACTAACATTATATAGTCTACGATATTTGGTATATATTACATTTTAAGATATTATATATGTGTATATATGTGTATGCACATAATCTGATTCTGTGCACAATGTTTTGGAACTTCCTTGTTTCATCCAAACATATAGCTTGGATAATTGTTATGTGAGAACATTTCATGTTCAAATTATTCTCGATTTGAACACCGAGAGCCCCTACAAATTGTCTCCTGTGCACATTTAACATTCTTCTTTAACAAATTCCTTCTTTGAGCACATCCTAGTTCTAGCAGGGCGTTTGCAGGATAGTTGAATCATGTGTGGAATTACGATCTTGTTTTTGTTCTTGTTTGGAGATTAAGTATGGATTAAGCAGAAGCATGTGGGTGCCGTGTGGACATGGAGTAGACTTGTGATGGTTAATTTTCTATGTTAACTTGGCTGGGCCATGGTGCCCAGATATATGGTCAAAACTTATTCTGGATGTTTCAGTAAGGGTATTTTTAGACGAGATTAACATTTAAATTGGTGGACTTTGAGTAAAGCAGATTGTCCTCCACGATGTGGGTGGGCCTCATCCAATCAGTTGAAGGCCTAAACAGACCAAAAGTCTGACCTCCCCCAGAAAAGAGGGAATTCTGCCAGGAGATGGCCTTCAGACTTAAATTGCAGCACTGGCTCTTGCCTGGATCTCTAGCATGCCAACTTACCCTGCAGATTTTGGATTTGCCAGCCTCCATAATCACATGAGCCAATTCCTTAAAATCTGTCCGTCCATCCATCCATCCATCCCTCCCTCCCTCCATCCATCCATCCATCCTGTTGGCTCTGTATCTCTGGAAAACCTTGATTAATACAGCACAGTTCTTTTATTAAGGGGAGGTTGTTCAAAAACTTTTTTTCAGTAACTGCTGGTTTAGACTTTCTATCTTGTCTGGGATCAGTTTGGGTTATATTTTCCTCAAAAATTATCCATTTCGAATGGGTTTCAAATTTATTTACAACTATTGTGCAAAGTAGTCTCATGATTTTTAAAATTGTCCTCTGTATTAATGTTTTTTTTTGGTCATTATTTATTTTGTATATTTAGGGGTTGACCCATGCCATTAAAAATAAACTGGCTAGTGATTCGTTTATTTGTTGATTTCTTTTTTTAAAAGTAATTTATCAGTTTTACTTTTTTCTGGTTTCAAACTTATTTCACTAAATTTCTACCTTTTTTTTCTTTAATTCCTACTTTTTGTTTTTTAAAAATTCTTTCAAAATTAATTTCTTTTTTTAACAGATTTTATTTATTTGAGATAGAGAGAGGGAACACAAGAAGGGGGAGGGGCAGAGGGAAAAGCAGACTCCCCGCTGAGCAGGGAGCCTGATGTGGGGCTTGATCCCAGGACACCGGGATCATGACCTGAGCTGAAGGCAGATGCTTAACTGACTGAGCCACCCAGGGCCCTTCAAAATTAATTTCTTTTTCTGAATGAATTATTGCTTTTGGAATGATCAGAATATTTTGGTTGTTGTACACTCTACTTTCTTTTCAGACCAACCTTTGGTGTGCCATTAGGTCACTGGACACAATGTTAGTTTTTATTATTTTAATTTTTTTTTACTTATTCAACAGAGAGAGACACAGCGAGAGAAGGAACACAAGCAGGGGGAGTGGAGAGGGAGAAGCAGGCTTAAGGCAGGTTCATTGGGACATAGTTTAAATATGGCAAGATCTGCACCTTTACAGTATACTGTTCTGTGAGTTGTGACAAACATAGACAGCTGCGTAGTCACCACTACAATTCAGATATTGAGCTTCCCCATCACCCCAAAAAAGCTGCCTTGTGCCCTCCTGTGGCGGCTCCTACTCCGCCCCAGCTCCTAGCAGCCACTCAACAGATTTCTAGAGCTCCCCTGGCCCTAAAGATCATACGAAAAGGAATCAAGGGGCGCCTGGGTGGCTCAGTCGGTTAAGCGTCTGCCTTCGGCTCAGGTCATGATCTCAGGGTCCTGGGATCGAGCCCTGCATCGGGCTCCCTGCTCTGCGGGAAGCCTGCTTCTCTCTCTCCCACTCCCCCTGCTTATGTTCCCTCTATCGCTGTGTCTCTCTCTGTCAAATAAATAAAATCTTTTAAAAAAAGAAAAAGAAAAGGAATCAAACATCATGTAGCCTTTTGTATCTAAATTTTTTCACTTAGAATAAAGTTTTTGAGAATCATCCACACTGAATGTATCAGTGGTTCATTCAATTTTTTTAATTGCTGAGGAGTATTCCATTGTATGGATATAACCAACTTATTTATCCATTCACAGTTGACGGGTACTTTGTGTTTCAGTTTTGGCAATTAAAACTAAATGTGCGGGGCGCCTGGGTGGCTCAGTTGGTTGAGCGTCCGACTCTTGGTCTCAGCTCAGGTCTTGATCTCAGGGTTGTGAGTTCAAGCCCCACTTTGGGCTCCATGCTGGGCATGGAGCCTACTTAAAAGAAAAAAAGCAAAGCTGCTAATAAACATTCTAAGACTTAAAGAAATACGTTTTCAACTCTATTGGTAAACGCTTTTTTGGTGGCATTTAGGAAGGCTTAGAAGTGGAATAACTGGGTCATATGGTGAGTGGAAGGTGTATTTTTTTTTAAGATTTTATTTATCTGAGAGAGAGAATGAGAGACAGAGAGCATGAGAGGGAGGAGGGTCAGAGGGAGAAGCAGACTCCCCGCTGAGCAGGGAGCCCGACGCGGGACTCGATGCCGGGACTCCAGGATCATGACCTGAGCCGAAGGCAGTCGCTTAACCAACTGAGCCACCCAGGCGCCCCGGAAGGTGTCTGTTTAATTCTGAAAGAACTAGCAGATTGATTTTCAAAGTGGCCACACCATTCTGCATTCCCACCAGCAATGAAGGAGAGCTCCTGTTGCGCCACCCTCTTAACATTTGATGTTGTCAGGTTTTTAATTATAGTCATTCACGTTGCTGTGTAGCAGTAGGTTATAATGATTTTAATTTACATTTCCCTAATAACTAATGATGTTGGACACCCTTTTAGTTTCTGCTTTTAAAAATATTACCTTGTTGGGGCGCCTGGGTGGCTCAGTTGGTTAAGCGACTGCCTTCGGCTCAGGTCATGATCCTGGAGTCCCGGGATCGAGTCCTGTATCGGGCTCCCTGCTCAGCGGGGAGTCTGCTTCTCCCTCTGACCCTCCTCCCTCTCATGCTCTCTGTCTCTCATTCTCTTGCTCTCAAATAAATAAATAAAATATTAAAAAAAAATATTACCTTGTTCTTTTGCAGGTTTAAAAAAATTTTTTTTAAAGATTTTATTTGAGAGAGACAGTGAGGAGAGCACAAGCAGGGGTAGCGGCAGAGGGAGAGGGAGAAGCAGGCTCCCTGTTGAGTAGGGAGCCCAATGCAAGGCTCGATCCCAGTACCCTGGGATCATGACCTGAGCTGAAGGCAGACGCTTTAACCAACTGAACCACCCAGGTGCCCCGCTTTAAATTTTTAAAAAAGATTTATTTATCTTAGGGGCACCTGGGTGGTTCAGTCATTAAGTGTCTGCCTTTGGCTCAGGTTGTGATCCCAGGGTCCTAGGATCAAGCCCCACATTGGGCTCCCTGCTCAGCGGGAAGCCTGCTTCTCCCTCTCCCACTCCCCCTGCTTGTGTTCCCTCTCTCGCTGTCTCTGTCTCTGTCAAATAAATAAATAAAATCTTTTAAAAAAAGATTTATTTATTTTAGAGAGAGAGAGAGAGAGAGCACAGGGGGAGGGGCAGAGGGAGAGGGAGAGAAGCAGACTTCCCGATGAATGCAGAGCCCGCCATCGGGCTTGATCTCATGACCCTGAGGTCATGATCTGAGCTGATATCAAGAGTCAAACCCTTGACCGACTGAGCCACCCAGGTTCCCCTTTTTGCAGCTTTTTATGTTGGACATTTAAGTTATTTAAAAATTTTTATATGGTTTTGAATGCTATGAATATACTCCTGAGTACAATGTTGGCTGCATCCCATAGATTCTGATATGCCATGGCTTTGTTACTATTATTTTTAGAAATGCTGCATCTTGGGGTGCCTGGGTGGCTCAGTCATTGGGCATCTGCCTTCGGCTCAGGTCATGATTCTGGGGTCCTGGGATCAAGCCCCATGTCGGGCTCTCTGCTCGGCGGGAAGCCTGCTTCTCCCTCTCCCACTCCCCCTGCTTGTGTTCCCTCTCTCGCTGTGTCTCTCTCTGTCAAATAAATAAATAAAATCTTAAAAAAAAAAAAGAAATGCTGCATCAAATTTTTATTTCCCTCTTGATCTTAGAGTTATTTAGTCACTTAAAAATTTCTGGGTCTAAAGACTTTTGAGGAAATTTTGTTCTTAATTTCCAGTTTTGTCACATGGTAATCAGAGTGTTGTATTATTCTGTTTGGAATTTCAGATTTTTGTGGCTTGGTATGTGATCAGTTTTCATAAATGTTGCAGGTGAACTTGAGAAGGAGTGTTCTCTGGTTTAAGGACTAAAGTTTAGGGGCACCTAAACTTTAAAAAAAAATATCTGATAGAGAGAGCGCACAAGCAGGGAGAGGGGCAGAGGGAGAGGGAGAAGCAGGCTCCCTGCCGAGCAGGGAGCCTGACGTGGGGCTCAATCCCAGCACCCTGGGATCGTGATCTGAGCTGGAGGCAGATGCCCCTCAATAAATAAAATCTTTTTAAAAAGTTAATAAAGACTAGAGTTTAATGTCCATCTGCACTATCCACCTTGTTATTTTATTTAGATCTACTTTGCTTCTTTTTTTGCCTCACTTGGTCTTGGGAATGCTCAGTGCATGTCCAGACACCCCAGTCCAAGCAGCAGTGGGGACTTTACACCCATAGGGGGTTCTGTGCCTCTGAGCGACTCCTCGTTCTCCTGCCTGAGACCCCCACCCCCAGCCCACATTCCACT